GAAAGCCACAGCGGCGTAAGTTTAGCGAGATGAGACTGGACTACCTCATTCAAGTAATCTTGCTCGATACTTGCTATTTGAAGCCGAGCCCAGGCAGAGTACAGTGCCATCTTTACCATAACCCTGGCGTTTGAGTTTAGACCCTTCAAGTCTCCAATCTCAGTAGTGTCCGGATTTTCTGTACAATATTAGTTAGCATGTATATTAATAACCATTAATCTCGCGACTCACTTGAGAAGTTCTCAAGACCCAGCACTAGCAACTTCAATATCCTGCCCATCCGGTCTACGTTTGTGACAATTCCTGTTGCAATGAAGGTAGCCGAGACATTGATGGCCCCCGACGCCAGCTCCGGAGAAGAATCCGCAGCAAATGCTGGCGTAAGTGCAGAACCGATCTGCGCTTGGTATTGCTCCAGGAGAGATGCTTCTGCGAAGTCTGGATCTGGAGTCTTGCCAAACATCTGGAAAGGGTGTCAGTTAGGTGACAAGTGTCGAATGACATACAAACTTACCCTAAGGACTTGATCGAGGATTTTAAGACCCCACACTCTCAGTTCTATCACGTTGGCAGTAGAGGCCGAGAATGCCATCCTCACAATATCTCCCACCCTCTGTTGCAGGGCCAGCTCAGCAGGGATTGTCTGATCGGGCAAAATCTCTTGCTCTACCGTTGCCAAAAGCTCGCTAAGACAACTGAGAACAAAGTTGCGAGTTTGCCATTTCAGTAATTCTTGTCCAGGGATAGCCTCATTTATATTATCTGATTGCCCAGCCCCGGCAATAGCGGATGCAAAGCCAGCAACTTCATCGTCTGGTATATCATTCACAGCGGATTTGACAGCTGGCGTGGGAGGTGGCTCTTCCACCTTGCCACGCGTCTTTGTCAATGTGTTATGGAAGCGCTGTACCCACAGCTCAGTCTCCTCAAGAGCAGTCTGCTGCAGCCAGTCTTGGATCATGCTCTTAAGATTCGCATTCTCTGGACTATCGTCGAAGGCAATCCAGATGTCCTCCTCTAGGGCCGGCGCAGCTTTCAGAACCGACACTGAGTCCCGCTTCATGAGGTTACTCAGTCCTCCAATGGCCACATCCCTCATTAATGGGTTATCAGCAGCGAGTTCAGTCTGCAGACGTTTCACATATCCTGAGAAATCCACGTAATTGGGAGCATAAAGCGACAAATGGTCCAGGCATTTAGAGCTTTCAGTAACCAAAGCCGGGTTATCCTCCAACTGAAACTGCCGGAGAAGAGTGAGTATAAGGTTTCGCGTTTTGGCAATGTCCTGGAGATCGGGACCCAAAACGTTGATCAAGGAATCCACGCAACGGCTAATGACTATTGGGGTAAGGTAAGACATTTCGATATTAGAGGTTGCAAGTGTGGCAGACTCCTCGTTATGGGTATCTGCGTAATATACTTGCGCAAGCATACCGAGCGAGCTTGAGACAAATGGCGAAAATGTCAAGCCAGCAGAGTTAGCTACTCTTTCCAGCCCTCCAAGCGCCCAGAAATGGACCACAGGGTGAGGATCATTGCACAATGACATTAGGACGCCCACGATAGTTTTGAGGTGTAGACCAGCTGCCATGCCACCTACCTGGGAATGAATGCAACCCAAAGCAGCAGCACAGCCAGCACGAGCATTGGGTTCTCTGTTGTCTACTATTGTGTCGACAAGCCAATTAATCTGCGAGGTAGTTAGAGTGTTTCCAGAGCTCTCACACAGTCTTCCGAGAGCTTCCACCCCAATGGTTCGAACTACTGGGTCAGCGTCGGTAACAAATTTCTAAGACATTTAGTTCAGTGACTCGTCCCATAGGTTTCGGAGGACCCTACCTGCAACAGCTCTTGCAATATCTTGTCAGTCGTAGGGTTGAGTTTTCCACTCGTCGAATTAGAATCTTTGAGGGCAACTTTCAAGGCCTCAAGCAATGCCACGGCGATGTTAACTACCATGGCAGCTTTGCGGCCGGGGTTGCGTTGCAAGCTTGAAGAAGAAAGAAAGGTTGCAATTTGCTCTACGCTACTTTCTTGTACTTTGGGAGCGTGTAATGGAATAGCAACGGAGAAGAGCTCAATAGCAGCATTGACAACGCCAGTAGGATACGGATCGGCTAGCAAACAGCCGCCATGTCTTGACGCATATAGAAGGGCAGAGTCATGCTCACTCCCTTGACAAATCGGGAAGGTTAACTTGATAGGTCAGTTCTACCTGGACTAGCTTTAGAGAAACCTGGTATACTTACAGCATCGTCAATAGCCTGGTCTGCCGATTCCACTGCTGACCAAGCCGGTCCATTGTCATTCTCATGCTTTCCGGACAGCGTCACGCGAACGTATTCCCTCGCTAATCCAGTTAACCCGAACGCAAAATTGTCACTTAGATCCCACAAACTCTCGAACTGAGCTGTAGAAGCTGCGATTGAGCTTTCAAGAGGACCGGCCTGGGCGTACTCTGGCTCAGCAAAAGACGATATAGCTAAACTTAGAAGACTGGTCTGAGAGATTACATCTCCATGGCTGAGAGGGTGAACATGGATCAGCTTGGAGAAGCACTGCAATACACGCCGCCGAACCATGGTTGCAATATCATGCAATTGCAGAGAAGGATGAAGACGCTGAGAGATATCCGCCACGGACTTCTGTCGGGGCAAGTCATCAAGAAAGCCAACAGTGTTCTGTAGCATAGTAGCGATTCTCCTGGCGCCGTCTGCCGTGATCAGTTTGCTATTGAATTCTAAGAACGCTAACAATGATCCCAATGCAGATTCCCTGACGTGGGCAAGGAAGCTCATCTCCAAGTTCCCACGCTGGGCGAAATTTTCTTTGCCTAGGTGCTTAGGAAGCGCATTTTTCCACAGGAGCATCAACTGCGACAGGTGTATTTTCACGAAGCTAGGCCCGAGAGGCATTAGGCCCCCGATTAAAACCCAAGCAACCTGGATTTGTGTACTCGCAGCACGCAGTTCGGAGTTGCTGCTCGTCTTTAAGAGATCTGTGGCTTGAGTGAATACCCGAGAATACACCTCGACGGAGCCGTAAAGCGGCTGCAGCCTAGAGGTACTCAACATGGCTGACAACCCATGCGCATAGCCGACGCAGCGTCGCGGCGCTTGGCGGGGTGTAGAAAGCTGTCCGACCTCCCTGTTCAAGCTGTTTAGACAAATCGTAACGCACGACAACATCTGGTGAGGACAGGCAAGTACAAAGTTGCGCAGGCAGTGTGCAACATGTATCTGCACGGTATAGCTAGGGTGAGGAAGAACCTGGAGGAGGGCTTCACGGCAGGGCTCAGCTAGGGACACGAAGGCAGAGCCAAGGGATGAAATTAAAGAGGATAGTGCGCTAAGAGCACTAGTTAACGTGTACTTGCTAGGTTCACGACGTTCCTGGATGACCTGAGGGTAATCCTTAAGAACTTCGTTGATTAACCACTTCGCAGCATTGAGCTGGCTGTTTTCACTAAGCGACTCACGGCCAACGGTGTCCTCCAAGATACTTTTGACAAACTTTCTCGTCACGAGAAGCCTGAATCGGTTGTATGTAACCGTTGGGTGGTTCAGGAGTTCAAGAAGAAGATGGTTCGCAATTTCCCCATAGCGTTCTTCAACAAATTTGTTGCCCAAAATACGCAGGACATGTTTATAACAGACTGCAATACCTGCACGTGAACGATTGGACGTTGTGCTGCGCAAATATTGGGTGGATAGTTGGCGAAGAAGGTCGGGCAGAAGGAAGAACAGGCGCGACTCGGGTTTCCTGGATACGGACGACTCAGAGACCTCCGCCTCTTCCTCATCCTCCCCAGGGCGCGGTGTTGGCTTTTTCGATTGTCTCTTTGCTTTCTTAGACTTGGGTATTGGAGCAACCTTGGCGTCCGTGGCATGCAGTTTCGCTAGCACTCGTGCCAGGCAAGCCGCAGCAGCATGTCTGACAGGAGCGGCTGGGCTGTCAATACCTTTCCAAGTGACTGTCTTGACATGATCAAAATCGTTTGCATTATCGAAGAACGGTGTTGTGTTCACTAGCTGCTCTAAGCATCGGCAAGCATGAACCTGGACGAATGTCGATTTATCTCCGGTGGCTGCATTGCGAGCTTGCTTCCAAATATCTCGCGCCGCCGCTTCATCCACTGGAATGCCCACACCAACAACCACCTTCCGTAATACTGCAAAAATGGATCCGCGCAGGCCAGTATGATTACTGGAGTTTTTCAACAGTTTGAGCAAGCTGTAAATGACAATACCCGCTTGCGCAAAGACACTTTCACCAGCTACCGCGAATACCTCGCCCAAACAGTGAGCCGCACCGAATTTGGTTCGAAGCTCTTCATGCTTGCCCGCATTCAAAAGCCCAAGCAAATCAGTAACTGTTTCGAAAAGTACCCCGCGATCACCTTTGCTAAATATAGCTCCAAAACATCGTCCCAGGTTGTTGCGCACAACTCGCGTGATCGTCGGCGAGGAAAGGGTAAGTAATTTGAACAACTCCTTTTTTAAAAATTTCTGCTGTGCCGACACCTGTGACTTTTCCAGTCCTGAAATATACTGTACTAAGTCCGATGTGAATGTGAGGAGGTAAAGGTCCTGCTGTTCGGAGGGGAGGGCATGGAGCTTGGTGATATCCAACTCGGCTCGAGGGGGCGCATTGTCGGAGGATGTACGTGCAACGGTTTCAGATGAAGACATTGAATTCGATAGTTCCGATCAGGGGCTTCGCCCATGAGGTTTCCCTGAGAGGAATGTCTAAATTTAAGAAGAAGGAAATTGATGGTATGTGTGGGCTGAATTAATGATTGTCTTGTCTAAATATGGGATACGTACTACTAGTATATCGGAGACGGGCCCCCCTTCTCGGCGCACCCTGGCCACACCTCCGTCCGGGGTGGGCGACGGAGTAAATGTCGGGCCGGTAGTCCCATAGATAGGACGAGTATCCATGTACTTCGTACACGCGCACCTTAAATGCGCCTCCATTGCTCGGCAAGAACCTTGACAATGACGGCAATTCTGAACAGAGAGTTACTCCGGAAATGTACGCGCACCCAACCGGTGTGCTACTTTTGTCGTGGCTTTACCAGCAGTTCTCCTTCGTTCGCGGGACATAATCGATGGTCCCAGATCAAACATGACAAGGCAAAGAATGACAAGGCGAAAAGTAAGGAACGCCAAATTATCGGCAAGGAAATTAGTAGCGCAACGCAAAGTATGCCTTTTTTTTTTTTTTTTTTTTTTTTCAATTGACCCCGCCTTCGTTGGTATGCGCAAGCTAACGGTTATGATTAGTGTGGGGAGCGGATCCAAAGTTCAATCCTCGGCTGACCCTTGCCCTCTCGAACGCCAAACGAGCCGGAATTCCAAAGACCGTGATTGAGGCAGCGATCGCAAGAGGCCAGGGTATAAGCGTAACTGGCGAGGCTCTCGAGCAAGTTACCATCGAGGCCATACTGCCCCATTCCGTTGCAGCCGTGATCGAATGTCAAACTGACCAGAAGGCGCGCATCTTGCAAGATCTCCGCTATGCTATCAAGGATGCTGGTGGAACCGTCACTCCGACTACGTATCTCTTTGAAAAGAAGGGGAGGATAATATTCGAAAAGAAAGACGGTCTGAACCCGGATGACTATCTTGATCAGGCTATTGAAGCTGGTGCTATGGACATTACGGCAGATGAAGGCCGTCTCATCGTGTTCACTGAGCCAACAGAAACAAAGAGTGTGGGCGAAGCTCTGACAAAGTCATCTCAGCTCACGATTGAAGAATTAGAAATAATTTGGGATCCGAATCAAGACACGTTGGTCGAACTGACGGAGGATGAACACGTGAGGGAAATAGAGGATATCCTCAGTGCCCTTCGTGAGGAGTCGAGCGTTCGGGATATCTATCTGAACACTACTCAACAGCTCTGATGATAGGTATACTCGTCGCAGTTTATGTCCCACTTACGACCCCTGTATAGTATGCAGCAGTGATTATAGAATACATAATAGATATACAGTAGAAATAGTAGAGCGCTTACTAGGTTCCTTGGACGGGCTACACTAGTTAGAAAAATAGGTAGGTGTCATTTCATGATATTTTCACCCTATCATTCTTTCCGTAAGGCCTTCATCGTGCTCCGCATTAAGCTTCCAATCCCAATACTTCCTGTCGCTTCCAGCCAGTCCAACATTCGTACCCTGTATTCCTGCCAAGTAACCTTAATGCCGCCTTCCTTCTCCAGTGCACTGAGTGCTTTCTGGGTCACTGGTCTCTTTAGCCTAGGCTGGTTTTCGCTGAGACTGCTTTTCTCCTCGACATCAGCGAAGCACGCAGCAGACATATTACAGAGTGCAACATTATGGCTAAGAGAGAATATCGAAGACAGGTTATAGGTAAACGTTGCCTCTCTCGTCCGTTCTCGAGAGTTGTCTGTTGCATCCCGGACATATTGCGTGAGTGCAGTGATTGTAGGAGCGGGTATCAAACAGCCTAATGCGTTGGGGTCCTCCCCATTAAGGCCTCGATTTCGCCATACAAGGTTACAAATATCCATAATGTAGCCATTGAATTGACCAACCAACTGTGTTGGATAGAGTGATTCGGCAGAACCTGGGGTTTGGAGCACCTGAGAAGTCAAGGATGCTTCGAAGGCCGATTTATAGCTGGCAAGCACGGAGCTCATTATCGAGATAATGGAATTGATCGGAGTGAAGATGAGTGTGTAGACGGTGGGAGCCATTGGAATCGCAATACGGATGTTTCCGTTTAGGTGTGAATGCGAAAATAATTCAGCTAAAACACAATAAAATTCAATGACAGACAAGGCGGCCGGTCTTGGGCTCTCCACATTGTCACTAAGTGCCTGCTGAGCAGCTGCAGGGCATTCGAGAATAGACAGCGCCAATAGCTCTGCATGTGAGATCAGACGGCCTAGTGGTTTAGATTCTTCCAATGTGAATGACTGCGTCCTTAATCTGACACCCCATTGGCGAATGATGGAAGCATAGAAGTCTAATAGGCTAGATCTGGGAAACAGTTTGTCCGTAAGTACAGCATATTCGAGTGGCCTCAAGAAATCATGCTGTATAGAGTCATAATCCTCGATATCAAGGTACTCGAGAAGGTAGTATATCTGCTCTCTCAAATCCCTGCCGTTCCATGACAGAAGATACGATTTCAAGAAAGTGGCAACTGGGGGAGGAATTTCCTAATATGTTCTTTAGCGTTGAAACAATAAGGATCCAGGTGCAATTTTTTACCTTTGTGTACTGTACGTAACCCACAGCAAGAGACATTATGTAGCTCAAGGACTCAAGTTTCTCGTCTTTATCTTCAACATCCTCCAAGTTTTCGTTGAAGAAGCTCGCCCACCAGTCATCTAACCGGTGGCGAGCAGACTCAGGTTGGACAAGAAACAGGTACTTTTGAGCGATACCATCTCCAATCATCGATATAATCTGGTTTGGTAACTCAATCTTATCAAGCTTGTCAACAAAGTGGTCAACACCGCGGAGTTCTTCCAATGACGTGCGGCCATAGGAGACACGTGAAGTCTGGACATCCGGTATAAAAACCTCCATTTTGCTCCTTTTTGATATTCCACGGTGCACCACTTGAAAATTCGCGGGCTGAGTAGCCTGTAGCCTTTCCATATTTGTGTCTTGGAGAAGTCTCACATGGCTGGACCATTCAGGGTCTAGATGCTTGAAGAACAGTCCCTTCCTCCCAGATATATTCAGGTCCCCAACAATGACATCAGGGCAGTAGTTTTTGAAGACTTTAAGTAATGTAACAAGTTCTCTCTCGTCGCCACCAGAAGTAACAAGCAGTTCCATAAGGGCTTGTATCCTAAATGGCTTAACATGCTTGCGCCGTGTGACCAGAGAAAGAAGATGGCATAAAGGTTTGCGCAGACTTATCATGTCTAGATGGTTGAAAAGTACAGCATAGAGCTTGGATAAGTGAGACCTATCAGCAAGAAATTCGTGTACCATGATCAGCCATCGCAAGAGTAAAGACTGTGTCGCAGGCGATGGTTTGTTTTTGTTAGGACCAAGACAACACGCAATCTTCGTGACGAGGCCGGATGACACAACATCCACCGGATACAGATTCTTAATAAGTGTAGTAATTGTACCTTGGTCAAGTTGACTGCGTGTCGTGATAATCTTAACCAAACGCTCAAGCGCAACTTGGGGAAGACCGCCCTCATACGCGTGCGTAGCAATCGTTTTAGCCAGTTCACCAGCATCCATATCACGTTGCTTAGAGGGCACGAAAGCGACTACAAACAGAAATTAACCCAGAAGAACTTATTATTTTTCCGCGAGCCATAGATGGTGATCTTACCTGCCTCGAGACGCTTGACTGCATCTAGCAGGCCAGTAGGCCTAAGCTCTGCGCCTGGTATTCCCGTCAGCAAACTTGTCCACTTCCAGGAGTTTGAAGCTAGCAAACCTGTATCTGTATCGGACGACATGCTAGGCCTTCTATTAATCGTAATCACTACAGCCCGGTTCTCCAGCTCGTGCCTTTTGCTCCTACAATTGGCGTCGATTTAGGATAGCATCAGCTATTTTGCGTACCGCCCAGACCTGTCGCGTCGCTCCGATAAATCGAGAGTAAACAGTCGATTCAATTCTGCCTTTCTTAAGTAATATGCAGTAGCTATTTCATTCGCATCTATCATTAATCGATATGTATTATCTTGTTGTATGAGTCTTCATAGTTTGTACATATCATTTCCAATCGCGCAATCTTAAGGGTAAATCATGGGCGCGGAAATTACGAACTTTACCGGATTTGGTCAACTACCGCGATTGGCACTCGATCTATGTACCTCAAACATCATGCTACGCAATGCTCATGCCGCTGTTTCTTACTCGCTGATTCTATACTTAAGATCTTGTATATATATATGAGAGCAATACGTATTAGGACTGACGTTTCAACAATTGATACATTAGACAAAATCTTACATTAGTAATGGAAAGTAGGGGGGAAATCTGGGTATTAGTTGAATATTTAATTAGGCGCTGCTCTAGTATGCTTCGAATATAACAAAGTCCGTAGAGACTTGTGTTTCTCAATAAACATATTTCACGGAACAACCACAAGGAATCCCTCTATGAGCATGCTCTCAAAAGAAAAGTATACTCGGAATCTAAACCGAGGGCAGGCTTACTTCCTCTTCCGGGTAGATGACTTAGAAGTTTCTTTTCCAGACGCCTCGGACGAAGCCGGTGTTTCTGTCTTCTTTTTGGCATCCTTAGCTTCAACGGCTGACGGCTCTTCCTCAGCATCACTATCACCTCCCTGACCGAACTCGTTGACACGTGTGTAATCAACCCGGTACTTCCAGCTCTGGTAAAGCCAAACGAAGAAAATGACATCATCACGGAGAGTCGCAAGCCTGTGAAGCCATGGCATTTTGACCGTGAATGCGAAAAGATCGTCGATGAAGGTGTTTAGGAACTTGTACATCAATGCTTTGCCGGGCATATGCGCAACAGACTAGGAACAGCGAGGTTAGCTAGGTTATGTAGCGGAGTCAAAGAATACCAACCTTCAGGCGGTAGTTGATGTACAAGCTGGGGACCATCATCAGGAAACCGTAGGCATAGACACTACCAACAAGTGTTTCAATAATGTAGGAGTACCACGACTTGTGGGTGTTGTAGACCAAGCTGTACACTGCATATGCAGCCAGGAGAGGTACGGCAACGATATAGAGATAGCGAAACGCAATTTCGTCGTATTCTTTGGTCTTCTGCTCGGTCTCCGTGAGCTTATGCTTGTCCTCAAACACCACCACGTAAGGCAGAAAGGAGAAGAAAGAGTTTGGCGATGGCTGCCGCAGGCGGACATCGACAGTCTTGGTGATTTTCCAAGCTTCGAGGAGGATACCAAAGCCCTGACTGGCAAGGATCATCCAGGAAGTGTTATCACTATTATCCATGAGATAGAGGAAAACAACTGCCTGCATAAAGACATTGGCCAAGATCGTACGAACGGATGTTCCGACGACGTCTTTCTTTTTGCGCCAGTGCGCCTATTATCGGAACACTAGGTCAGTACATTGCCATAAATCTGCATGGAGTTATAAACTCACAATATCATTCTTGAAGGCCAGAGTCTCGAAGACCATGTGAAGGATAGTTACGATACCAGTTGTGCCCAGCAGCCAGATGTTCGTATCTAAGAGGATCTCTTTCACCATTTCAAACTCAGTACCGTCACCACCGCCTGGAGTCGAGGCTCCAAAGGCAGCCTGTCGAGCAGTTTGTTTTGCGCTGTCATCAACGCTCGTCATCATGCTGAACTTCCAGTTCTGCAAATTGTTAAGAGTAATGCGAAGGGGTACGGTCTCCACGGTAGAATTGAGTTCCATCATATGACTCCTAAGTTGCCAAAAGGTATTCAAATAAACAATAGGATAGTACCATCCATTCTTTCCAGAGACGTCTCGTGCGCCAGATGCCTCTAGCTGCACATGCGACCGGACAGCTGGATGAATCTGACGGAATCTCTGGGTACCAGAATCAGGGATCAGAGATACCGTGAAGTTCGGATGATAGTACGATGCGATGGAGACGTCCGGTGTGTTGTCTTCCACCTCTTCTTCTACTTCGCCCGAGCCGGCAAGAAGGTTCTTGAGCTTCTTGGCCTTCTTCTTCGGGAGATATTGGTTAAGCGGGCGGAAGAAATAGATTGCAGAATCTGTGCTGTAATCTTTGGCCGAGGGATCGAGCTGATGCCCAGAAAGTCCGAGCATGAAGTGCGCGAAAAGAGTTCCATTTTGCTGTACTTCTTTGGGGATCTTGATGGTAGTATCGATTTCCCTGCTATCACTGTAGTTTCCAAGAGTAAAGTTCTTCTCATTGAGCACAAGTTGGCTTGCCTGGCCAGACTTAACAGTAGGAAGTACAACTGATGGCGAGACGTAGATGTTCATGTCCAAGGCACTGTCGGAAGGCCATATCGGATTTATGATATCAGGGATAGCACTGTACTCGGTGATTTCGCTACGAGCTGGACGATCTGCGAAGGCAGGAATCCCACCCGGCTTCCCGCTAGAACCAGCATCGTTCTGCTGGCGTCCACCAAAGAATTGACTGAAGATAAACTGTGTTAGTAAGAAGAAAGCCAGACCCTGAAGGGCCCCCTTGAAGCCGGACTAAATCACGAGATGGTCAGCCCGATCGGCCTGATAAATGACGATGGTACGTCGCATACGTACGCTAGACTCCGGCTCATCCCTGCGCTGTCTTTGTTCAGGCATTGTGCTCTAGAGCTGCAGTGGCCTGGTCGACAAGAAAGAGGGAGAGGGTAAAAACAGGGGAAGGGAAGGAAGAGAGAAGAAAGGAAAAGGCCACGAGCGGCGGACTGCTAGTAATCCGTTGAACTACGCCGCTTTGGTCCAGAACTCGGGTCGTTTTATCTTGGCGGGTCGATAAATTATTTCTTATCGGCGCATGACATAACGCGATTGTTCCCTCTGGACTCATTTCTCCACATTTCCCAACTCCACGGCAACGAAAGGACGTCCTGAACCGCAGTTGATCGGCCGCGTGGATCTTTTACTGCTTGATCTAGATCATATAATACAGAAAATTGCCGTGCGATCGACATGCGTGGCGCGTGGATATCATCAGCTTAGATCTAATGTCGGACAATCCTCCCTTCCCCGAATCCCCCCGCCCTCAGTTTCCCACCCATAATGAACCACGAGTATGGGTAATCACTGCTGGGGATTCGCCCATTGGGATCTCAGTTACACGCCAAATCCTCGCACACGGCGATTACGCATTGCTTGGATTGGCCCATTCGAGTCTAGAACGGGACGAGTGCCGTCGAGATGAATTCGAGTCTTTCCTAGCCGAGATTGACAGTCATAGCCATGAGGGATGGCGACAGCGATTCAAGTCCGTTCCTTTCGATATAAGGTGTGCACTCCGGAGATGTCTCTAAAATAAACTCGCAGTGGCGCATTGGCTATAGAGGGGAGCGGAGTGTGCTTACAATCATCGTGCAGGATGATAGGAGAATGTCAAGCACTTGTGGCAGATGCCGTTACAAAATTCGGCAAGATTGACATTCTTCTTTGCTGTACAAGTCAAAGTATGGACTATGCAGCACGTCCCTTTCAACGGCGGTCGTCTAGCTAACTGCCTATGCAGCCCTTGTAGGAACAGTGGAAGAATTCGGGGCATCCCAGCAAACGCTGAACTTGGTTCGGGATCAATTCGAAATCAACTATTTCGGGCCCCTTAGTATTATAAAAGCAGCACTTCCTCATATGAGGAAACAGAGAACCGGACACATCATGATTCTCTCGGGGATTAGTAAGTCTTAATCAGTACTGCCTTTAGGCCAGGTCAATGGCTAACAAAGACAGCCGCCCACATTGGCACGCCAGGACTTGGGATGTATTGCGCAGCTGGGTGGGCTCTCGAAGGATTTTGCGACGTGAGTGCAATCTGTGCCGGGGGCTTCAACCAATCCTGCTAACCGCCACGCTACAGAGTCTTGCATATGAGATAGCCCCATTCAACCTCAAACTCACGATTTTCCAATGCAGTATCGAAATCGGGATTCTCACGAATCTAGTAACTAGCGTGCCTCCAATAGCTCCCGCATATTCACCAGCTTCTAACCAAGCACCCCTTTTCCGCGGAATGTTAAACCGACTTGTGCCTCGTCTGCCCAACACACACGCCGAAATGAATGGCACCCAAGAAACTTGCCAAACCGCTTCTGCTGAGAATGGGCCATTTTCACGTCCTGAAGTTACGTCAATGTACCCTCCACTCAGCTCTGCACATATGGAGGTTCTAGTCGCAGAAACGGTATATGCCATCACCGCGATAGGCGGGCATGAAAATCCACCGTCACGCCATATAGTAGGACAAGAGGGTGTTGCGAGTGTGAAGGAAAAACTGAAAACTGTTAGTGAGGAGCTGGAGGACTTCATCCAATCTAGCTATGCCGTTGACTACGCTGCTGGCGGCGATCAGAAAAGGGCGTCCAAGGACGAAAATATTTTCGGCATAGGAACCGGTAATGGTGGCGTTTAGAGCAAGAGTTCTAGACTTAATGAAAGAATTAATGAATTTGATGATAATACATTTGTGGTATCTTCCGCTTATGCCATTGGAATGCATGACCACTGTAGCTGTCAGCTATCGCAAAGAAAGAAACATGAACCCGCATATCAGACGTGAGAATTGGCACAGGGACAGTACTTTCCTGTTAGGTGCCCTCAGAAGAAGATAATAAAATCAAGCTCACAGCTCTCTAAAGTCAATTGGCCAACGAATTGTTCCTCAGAAACCAAGCTTGTCTAACCTCCCATAAGCTACCCATATCCTGATTATTTCTGTACGCCCGGAACTCTTTCCAGGCATTTCCGTGTGGGACTTTTCCGGCCCGGCCGTCAGCTTCTAAGATTTTAGTTGCAATTGCGCTGGGTCCCGTGATACCTGAGACCGTGATCATCCCAGGTTCTTCTGATGTGCCTTCAACGATTGGCAGTTGTGGGGCTGCATCTTCAACAGTCGCGGAAGGCTGTTCAGAAACAAGTTCCAGATTGTGGCCGTCCCGCTCCGTCGTAGTGGTTTGAGTCATTACAGAGGTAGTCACGTTAGCTTCTGTCGGTGGCGGATTGGTGATTTCTACTGTCACTTGAGTAGGTCTTGTGATTTTGGTGGATGCTTTCACTTGGTCAACTTCGAGGTCCTTGGATGTCTGTACCTGGGGCTTTCTGCCACGGCCTCTCTTGCGAGATTCCATCTTTATCTCTGATTTACGCTTGTTAAAGGATCCAGCCTCTTCCGTAGGATTAGTATCTGAATGCGTGCCCGCACTTGTTTCAGCCGTCCTAACTTGCTCTATCTCAGCAGTAGTCGTTGTAACGACTCCTGGTTTCTCGATTTCCCCCATAACTAGGGCGTGTGAGCCCTTCAAGGGTAAGGTCTGGGGAGCAGGAAGAAACACCCGTTGGCCAGGGGGCAATTCGAATGTTAACTGGCCATTTTGGATATCCACTATCTGTAGCAGCGTCAATTGGGGAGTCCGAACGGAGCTCTGAGTACAAACGTACCCTGGCTTCTTTCTCCACTAGGAGGTTATCTTTACTCTTGAAAGCTCGAGAATATTTCCAAACATCGCCTACAAGAACAATGCCATTGTTAATAAGGGTGCTCAATCTGACCTGGCGACTCTGTCCTGCGACCAGCGTCTTGTCCATCTTCTGTTTCTGCCCCCAAAACTGCTCAAACTCTTCTTCTTTAAACTTGTCAAACTTCCCATCCGCCCGCTGCTGCATGGCTTGTCCTGCCTCTCGCAGCCAAACGGGATCGTAGCGTCCATTTTGAAGATCTAGCTGAAAGTGACGAATGCCGTCTCGCCAATTATTGGAGTAACGTAGGAACTCTTCTGGTAAAGGGGGTATCTTTGCATCAGGATCATCTGGTGAAGGGTCTGGGTTCGGATGTAGGTCTTCAGGAAGTAGATCGAGTATTTCTCGTTTTTCAGACTCCTCAAGGCAGTTCCAGGCTTCGGGGTTGGCGAGTAATTTCTTGATTTGCCCATCAGTCAATGTATCGCACTGCGTCGCCATCATTCCGTAATTGTATAACATACCACAAGGTCCAGATATATAAGGTTGGAAGATGTACTCGTCATCAACTTGTCCTCAGCCCAAGGATCCTTCGCCGCTCTCTTTGGATTTCTCTTTGGTCGCTTGTTGTTTGAGGACATTGCGACGTGAGACTCGCCCACGTAATCCGGGTCCTTTGTCTTAGCAGTAGAGGAACAATTCCTGGTGTAGAAACATTGTTAAATGTGCCCCAGTATATGTCGCACCTGAGCACTGGTATTTCAACAGCTTGTAGATAATAAATCTCACAAGCTAAATAAATATAGTATGGATAGTCTTACCTCGTTGGCTGCGTCCTTGTTTTGCCATTGTCGACCGCCTTGCGCTTGCGGGCCATTGCTTCTAGATGCCAATCTGGACAACAACAGAGGTACATATGCGCCGCTACAGCTGAACTGCAACCTGAGCGTTATTTGAACAAGCTGAAGGTCCACTAGGCAAGAAAAAGTTGTAATCAAAATGGTCAAATCGACTCAAATAGCCAGGCTTGATGGTAAGAAGCAATGCGAAGAGATTAGGGGTTCTATGATGCAGTTGCTGATGTTTGTCAAGGCCTCATGCTGGCTGCGTCAGTAGATGATGAACAGGTCAGTTTACAGCCTATTCACCGTGAAACAATGACACAACGAGTAACACTGAATTATTCATTATTCCAATCAGGCAGAGGTGGAGCTCTCCGAAATCAAGACACAAGCCAAAATGATTTTCCGCCGGTTGAGTCGCAATTCCGCACCGCAAGCTAGCATTGAGTCTGGCCAATATAACTTACAGTGAGTCTGATGTACGAGGTGCAAGACGATACAAATGCTAATTCGGGTATTTGACATAGCTATCTTATCCAAGATGATATCTGCTTCCTCTGTATATGCGACCGCTCCTACCCGCGCAAGCTTGCCTTCACCTACCTCGCAGATCTCGCAACCGAATTTACTACCACTTACTCATCTGCGCAGTACCAGTCTCCCACCCTGCGACCATATGCTTTTGTAGAATTTGATACATTTATCCAACGCACCAAGAAGCTGTACCAAGATAGTCGCGCTTCGCAAAACCTTGACCGACTAAATGATGAGCTTCGGGATGTAACGAAAGTGATGACAAAGAACATCGAGGACCTCCTATACCGAGGTGATAGCTTAGAACGGATGGGCGAGTTGTCGGGGCGTCTGCGAGAGGATAGCAAGAAATACAGACGAGCAGCAGTGCGCATCAATTGGGAGCTGGTGATAAAACAGGTATCCTCCGCGTGTCTTTGATCGTTCTCACTAGGCCCTCATACTAACCTGCTCCACAGTATGGTCCAATTGCTGGAATCGGGGTCCTCTTTCTATTCCTCATTTGGCTGCGCTTCTTCTAATTGCTTCCCTAACCGACTGCTTACGGAGGCCCGCTCATATGAGTGTTTGCATAGTTAATCTTGATGGTTGCCGGACTCCATCTACCCTGATATATTCAAAAACTCACAATATTTTATGACCGACCAGCTTGGTTGCAAGGCGTAAACGTTTCTTTTTCATGAGAGCCCTACATAGCATGTTCATTAAAGCGTCTCATTGACCATATGCCAGTCGTGTTATTATACGTCAATTGATCGGGATGCCGTAAACAGTCCAAAATGTACACGATATCCTTGGACTCCCTTCAAGCACGATTGGGAACACCAGCTGATAACAAGCGTAAGGACGTAGAGGAGATAGGAGATGTCCTGCGCTGATTCACTAAAGAAGGTGCGTCGAGAACAACCTCTGTACGTGCCCACTTATATTTCATCTTCTTCCTCGTCGAAGTCGTCTTCCTCTCCCATGTCGTATAAAATGCGCCCGCCCTCTCCAGGGCCGTCACCTTGCTGTGCATCGAAGTATGGTAGCACCACCCCCTCTCTTTCTCTCCGTTGTCTGTCGGTGAGTCGCAATTCGAAAGTGGACTCTGGCTCTTCTTCGCCTGCTCCGGCCTCTGGCTCCTCCGGTGGACGATATAAGGGATGGTCGTCAAGCAGCGTTACAACCTCCTTCAAATGCTGAGGCGTGTACTGTGATGCCGGGGGTAATATATACCACTCTAAAACACCACGTCCACTCTTGCGTCTGTGTTCCATCTCCAGAACGATGCCTTCGGCCGAGTCCTTACCAATCGGCTTATCCAATCTTCCTAAAAGTACTCCATCCTGTTCCTCTTCGAGTCCAAAAACTGGAGCAGCTAGACTACGATCTCGAGCAGCCTTCTGCGCTAGTATGTGTGAGAATGAATGTAACTTTATAATAGTCGTTGCGAGATAGGTCAGCATTGAAAGAGCTGATGGCGAATAAGGGGATTGAGCTGGCGGGCATGGAACATCTTGATGGAAAGTCACGACGAGCGAAACTTCAACCTTAGGTGCTGAAGGACTCGGGGGGGTTAAGAATGAACTAAGAAACGTCGATAGTTGGGAGTGTGCATCGTTCGTTTTAGAGAGTAGAAGTGGGTTAATGGAATCTATAAGAATGAGACGTCCTATTGCTTATTAGTCATAGTCACCAATAATTCTAATACTCAGACTAGCCCGCGGTGACATACGAGAAGAAGAGGCTTTGGTTGCAGTAGCCTGGTAAGCCGCGCCAACTTCCTTAACTATCTGTGAGGGGCTTTTCCTTCGGGCGGAAACGAATGCATCAACGCCATCTAATGGCTTTAATGTCTCAAAAGCAATAAGTGTGACATGAACCTTGGAGATCTATACTATTTCTTAGCTTTATCCTGCCTACGGCTAGTTCACAATTATCCATCTTGCCCGATTGAAGGCCTGATGACGTATCCCAACCCTCGAGTCTAGCAAATGGAGTAGACACCAGCCAGCTCAAGTCCGATAAAAAAAAGTCGAGCAAGTACAAAATAAGAAGTGCAGTAGGAGATATAACGTACCTTTGCACGCCTAATATATTCTTTAACCAATGGGGTAGCTGGTTGTTCGAGTGAATCCAACAGCAGGGTCAACGGAGAAGCTGTATCTCTCAGACTTAGAAGCTTTGAGATCAAGAGTAAATTATGCGTTTGCCTATGAGAAAGATTCGGTGCCATTGCTGTACGCAGAGGAAGCTGTAACACCTATGTTAGGTAGTTGCGTTGGTAGATCTAGGGAATAGCGGGGTTAGTTTTCGTGCGTATGAGGGGTCGGAGACATCGGGCATAAAAGATTTCCCAGGAATGGGTGATCTTTGCCGTTGACGACTTAGTCTGAGGCTCGGCGGGCCGGGCCGTAAAAAAAAAATATTGCCTGCTTTCCAACTGGCAAGCGCAGCATGCATCTTTGAGGCATTGATTTGCAGGCACCAGGCTATTTAAATGCGAGCACAGAAATAGGCCACTCAAAGGTCATCCGTCAAGCTATAATTAGCTCAAATTTAGTTACTTTTTCGTCACGGACCACGGTCTTGGATTATTATCTTAGCTTCAGGAAATTTTGACAACCTACAATCTGACAAATATCTACTCCGGAGTATCAGAAGTATGTCGATAATGTTCCCATCGCGCATGGGCGTGGGGTATTAGGTCAGGGCTATATGGAGCGAGGGACGAAGATAGAAAAAAAAAAGAAATATATATTACCTCTATCTTCTTGCTTAGAGCGCAGTAACCTACCATGCTCTTCATAACTTTTACTTTTCTCCTTTGGCTAAGTCTGTATTACTTGCCCTTGTAGACCTGTACTGGGAAGTTACTAATATTTCCTCCTATGTCATTGAACAAATGCCAGAGGATTGTTTGACAAGTGTCTGGAATGCTATAGCTCGTATTCTGGGAGAGAGATTGTGTAAAACTATTGTATCACTCACATTGATAGAAAATAGAGGTAGATATAATAGCGATCGATAATTCATGCTTCTATTTTGGCGGGCCGACTGTTAACATTTGCTTTAAGCTCAAAATTGTTCACATTACAAAATGACCCTACGTTCTCCCGTCATCAAGACGGGCCACGAGTATAAAGCAAAAAGTTGATACTACAAAAAGAAGAGTGATACTATTGTGAGCACATCTTAAGGCTGATAGAAATAAGGTGGTATGCGTAAAGATTGGCATATGGTCACTGATGCTTAGTTTTACTCCTCTTTGATATGGCTTTGTTTCAGGATTATTGGGAATTAAATTTTACTTGATTGGGGCCGACCGCGCAACTGGCATACCTCGGCAACCGTAATATCTTCACGGTCTCAATTTCAATCCGGGTGCAACGCCAACCTTCAGCACTATCGTCTTCTAAGCGTTTGATACCCATTTTAAACAAATATTGATGAAATAATTAACATCTTATTAAGATCTGTCACGTTTATTTCGACTTTGCCAGGTCAACCTCTTAGCTGGGTGTTTTACAGAGACAGCAACTCTACTATTCTAACTTATTCTTGGTCGATCGCATCTTCAGATTATTTGACTAGATAGCACCTTGTTCCCAGGATGGCCGAACCGCCCGCAAAGCGAGCCCGACGGGTTGATAGCTCGACAATGTGGGATATGGATGGCCACCGGCCGACGCGTTCTCCTGAACCAGACTCAGAGTATAATAGGAGTCCTAGACGTGAAACAAACTTAAAGGATGATGGGCGACGAGAGGGACCGCGCGATGATCGAAGATACCGTTCCCGCTCAAGAGATCGAAGGGACAGGAGGCGCGATAGGAGTAGGTCTAGGGACCGCCGAGACCGCGATCGGGATCGCGACAGGAGAGACAGAGAGAGAAGCGTTAGCCGCGACAGATACTATGATAAGCGAGGTATGCTATGTGGTACGATTATCTGCTTGGATCAAGCGCTGATATTCGAATCTTGTAGGGTACCCTTCAAAAATGGAAAGATACCATGACCGTTCCCGCTCCCCTCTTCGAAACGGAAACAGGGATAGATCCAGGACACCACCTCTTCGGGGACCCAGGGGAGACCGCAGGAATGATCGCAAAGACCACCGAACACAGCCGAATGGTGCCTCTGACTTGAGGACCCCAAATCGGTACAAAGACGAAATGGATATGGACATCGAGGATGCTGGGGAAGGCGATTTGGAAGAAATGATGCGTCGAAGCATGGGATTCACCAATTTCAGAAGCACGAAGAATACCAAGGTACCTGGAAATGATGTCTACGGGGTGCGAATGGAGAAGAAGACGGAATACAGACAGTATATGAACCGTATAGGAGGATTCAACCGACCACTCAGTCCTTCGAGATGAAGGATGGATCAATTACCTTTATCCGTTACTACTCGACCCTTTTCTCCTTTTTTCTTTCTGCTCTTCTTTCGTATCTGTTAAGGCGGGACCAATTTTAGCTAGGGTTTTGACTATAGCCATATGCATTGTCGGAGTAAGGTTTACTTTCTATTGCACGTTCCACTCGCGCAAGGTTTTGTTTTTTTTGTCCTTGCACAAACCAAAGAAGTAGTGCCAACGAGATGACACAACTACCTTTAACTATGTATGCTAATGTTCGGCATTAGCCTGCCCGGGCACATGACTTGTAGTGACGTACGCGTTTGTATAATAGGTATTGCTTGATATCCCCAACCCGTTCCAAAACTCGTTAACGTCTTCTTACCCCAAACCCCCCCAACAACAACAGTGGCCCCTTTAAGGGCTTTAGGCTTTAGGATCGCATCGTACTGCAAAATGGCAGCCCCAAACGAACGTCGGGATATTGTTATCGTTGGTATGAATCGACTTTAGTTTACTGAGACTTACCCCGCACGACCCATACACACCAGAGACTAACAACTACGTCCAAGGTGGTGGTATCATCGGATGTTGTTCAGCGTATTATTTGACAAGACATGCTTCTTTTGATCCTTCCCGACACTCAGTGACCCTCATAGAGGCAACAGAGATTGCAGGAGGGGCTTCGGGCAAAGCAGGCGGTCTTTTAGCATTATGGGCATACCCAGACAACATTGTACCATTGAGCTACAAATTGCACGCGGAGCTAGCTAAGGAGCACAGTGGGAAAGAAAAATGGGGATATAGAGAGGTGAACTGTGGTCAGCTTATCGCCAGAGGTCGCCCGCTCAGCGAGAAGAGAAAGGCGGGCGAAGGAGAGGGTGGGAGCCCAGTGTCCCTACAAAAACGGAGTGCGACTGCACTGAGTAAATTGAAAACCGCAAGGGTGCCCAGTGATCTTGACTGGCTTGAGCCAGAGGGTGTCAGAGGCTACGAAAGCATGAGTGATCCGGGGGAGACCGCTCAAGTCCATCCTTATCTCTTCACTACGTCCATCGCAAAGCTCGCCGAAGAGAAAGGCGCAAAGGTTACGCTTGGGTCAGTCACAAGTATCAATTACTCTGGGGATTCTGTCAAGTCAGTCACATACGCAAGTAAGGAGAACGGCGAATCACAGACAATCCCTGCAACCGATGTTGTTATCGCTGCCGGTCCGTGGACGAGATCGGTCCTGCCGGATGCCCCGATATCAGCAACACGTGCCCATAGCGTCGTGATCCGGCCAACGAGGCCAGTCAGTGGATATACCCTTTTCACTAATATAGAGATACCGGCCAATTTTGACCCGTCAAAGTCCTCACGTCCAACGGTCGCCTCGCCAGAGATCTATGCTCGCCCTGACGATACAGTCTATTGTTGTGGAGAGGGTGATCATACTGTTCCCCTCCCGAAGACAACCGCAGACGTTGAGGTAGACCAAGAACGGTGCCAGGATATCATCAACCAGGTGGGAAGCGTCTCTGATGAGCTACGTGATGGACAAGTCTGTGCGCGTCAAGCGTGCTACTTGCCTAACGTGACTGCTGCACGTGGTGGGCCATTGGTAGGCCATGCTGGAACCAAAGGACTGTACCTTGCGGCTGGACACACTTGCTGGGGCATCCAGAATGCGCCAGGCACAGGAAAGCTCATCAGCGAGTTTGTATTCGATGGCGCAGCCAAGAGCGCGAAGATCGGGTCGCTTGATCCGAGGAACTATCTCTAGACTAAAGGATTGTATAGAGGATTCCAATTAGATTATTCCTTTGTAAAGGGACTTTGTCTTTGACGTATACGCATTTCCTCGGGTTAATCTCTAGTATGTGTGGTCTTCAAGGTTAAATATGCTCTGCCACGTAAGGTGCGGAGCGGAGCTAAAAATACCGCGCGGGTAAATAAATGACAGGGGAGCTCTCCCTCCACTAGTGAAATGCCAGATAATAGATAGTAACATCAACCTCCGCCGTGACATAACCATTCTCTATGTTCACGCCTCCAATTGTGTGGGCTATCGTTTAATTGTTGATGCTTTCTATATGGACAATGCATCTTTCCAAACTATTCACTCTTTCAACATCATTATTCTATGTGGTTGCGGCGTCCATAGATAATGACGTATCGATTCTAGCTAAGGAGGCTGCGCGAGCCAACAATCAATCGCTATTATGGGGTCCTTATAAGCCTAACCTCTACTTTGGGGTTGCCCCTCGGATTCCAAACAGTCTGTCCGCAGGGTTGATGTGGGCGAAAGTAGATGATTACGCCACGGCTCAGTCTAGTATGTGTCCCCAACAGTTGTCCTTCATTCACCATTAGCTACGTTCATTCCCTTCTGTTGATAGTCCCACTAACCCTGGCCCGCTTCAAGACTTCAGACACACCTGCGAACAGAATGAAGGCATGGCGGGTTATGGATGGGACGAATACGATATTCGGAAGGGCGGGCGCCAAACAATCCACGACGCTGGGAACTCCCTGGATCTGACAATTGATTTTATCAAGGTCCACGGTGGACAGCATGGAGGCAGCTGGGCTGCCCGAGTAAAAGGTGTCCCTCGGGATGATGCACTCCCGGATCAGCCTACAACAGTCGTCTTCTACAGTGCTCTGGAGGGGCTTGGTAACCTGGGCCTTCACACCCAGTCTGACGACTCGCGTGGTTTTGAGGGAGACGTGAAGCTGGCTGGTTATACCTCTGATCTTGGGGACTTCACAATTGATGTGACTGAGGGCCCTAGCACCAACGAGTACCCGGAACATGAACATCCAAGCTACGAAGACAAACCACTGGACCGTACCTTGGTGTCCAGTTTGACAATACCCCCGGAGCACACCTGGCAGACGAAAGGTACGTTTTCACAATCTTTTGCAAGCATCTATTAGTCCGATCCAGAGCTGATCTCTCGTCTAGTGATTCTGTTTTCGCAGATGAAGGAGGGTGTAAGCGAAACCATCGAAAAGTATGGAGCGGAAAACCCTCCTCCCCCATCGCAAGTCTTCACCATCAAGAATACGCCAGGTGATGGTAATGTTCAGCTTGTGCAGAAGGTTTTCAAAGGTGCCTTTGAGGTAAATGGGAGATCTCTTGGTTTGCAAATAGTCTGCTTACAGATCCCAGTTCGATATCCTATTCTCTTCTGGGTCCTCGCCTGAGCCTGTGACATGTATAGTGCCTTTCCCTTGGATCACTGCTGTGAAAGTTGAAGCTAATCATATACTTTACAGCCGACCTTCTTACCCAAGAAATTACAAGTGCTTCGATAGCTTTTGCTGAGCGCTTCGACAAGATACTTCCCCCGCAGTCACCCTTTATTTCCGACAAATATACCGAATTCTCCAAATCAATGCTTTCCAATCTCGTTGGTGGCATAGGCTACTTCCACGGTACTGACATTGTTGACCGTTCCGCGGCGCCCGAGTACGATGAGGAGAATGAAGGTTTCTGGGAAGAAACGGCGGAAGCAAGGGCTCGGGCTCAACCTGTCCTTGAAGGTCCAAAGGATCTCTTTACTTGTGTTCCCTCTCGACCTTTCTTCCCCAGAGGCTTTCTCTGGGATGAGGGTTTTCACCTGATTCCGGTCGTCGAATGGGATACAGATCTTGCGTTTGTTAGCCGGTAATCCTATCGTCATCGAAATACTGACATTTTCCAGGCTTGAAATCGTAAAGAGTTGGTTAAGCTTAATGGACGAGGATGGGTGGATTGCTCGGGAGCAAATCCTGGGCGCTGAGGCGCGCAGCAAAGTTCCACCCGAGTTTACCGTCCAGTACCCTCACTACGCTAACCCTCCAACCCTTTTCATTGTTCTGGAAGCGTTCCTCGATAAATTAGATGCCAACAAGAATGTCTCTGTCCAACAATCTCCTGGAGATATCGCAGAGCGTCTCCGTTCTGCCTTTGTGCAACAGCCGGAGTTGGGTGAAGCTTATATCCGTTCAATTTACCCGCTCCTGAAGAGACATTATTTCTGGTATAGAAACACTCAGCGGGGTGACATTAAGTCCTACGACCGAGAGGCCTTTTCCACCAAGGAGGCGTACCGCTGGCGGGGCCGGTCTGTCCAGCACGTCCTAACATCTGGGTTGGACGATTATCCTCGAGCACAGCCCCCACACCCCGGTGAGCTACACGTGGATTTGATCAGTTGGATGGGGATGATGACTCGCTCTCTCCGACGAATTGCTGAAAGACTGGGGGAGACTGAAGACGCTGAAGAGTTCAGATACTATGAAACTGCCATTGAACGGAATGTCGACGACCTCCACTGGAACGAACAGGCGCAAACATACTGTGATGCGACTATTGACGAGTATGAGGAAAGCGTTCATGTCTGTCACAAGGGATACATCTCCATATTCCCCTTCCTCACTGGCATGGTGAGCTCGGGTAGCCCTCGGCTAAAAGCCATCCTGGACTTGATCAGCGACCCAGAAGAGCTCTGGAGCGATTTTGGCATTCGCAGTTTAAGTAAGAAGGATGAGTCCTATGGGACTGCTGAGAATTATTGGAGGAGCCCTGTGTGGATCAACATCAATTATCTGGTGTTTAAGAACCTTTATGTGAGTAGCCCAAAGCTTTACGAACCACATATTAGAACTAACGGTTCCACCCTAGGACATCGCGATCACTCCTGGTCCACATCAAGAACAGGCCCGTGAAATGTACTCCAAGCTGCGGAAGAACGTAGTTGAGAATGTTTTCAAGGAATGGAAGACGACCGGGTTTGCTTGGGAACAGTATAACCCAGAAACAGGCAAGGGACAGCGGACGCAGCATTTCACTGGGTGGACTAGTATGGTGGTGAAAATGATGTCGATGCCCGATCTTCCTGCGACTGAGAGCAAGGGGCATGATGAGCTATAGAACAGCAACAGTCGCTGCGTAGCGCACGCGTTAGGTTAGGGAATACTACTTGTACACTATCGTTTCTCCACGAACGCCCCAACTCCGTATGTAGACAAAGCAAATTTCCGAAGACTGAACTCAACGCCGACGATGGTAGTCTGAATCTCTATCCCGGGTATGACGATGGTCGTCTCGGCGTCTCCTGTCTTCGTCGTTACCCCTTCTGTCTCTGCTTCTTGACCGTGAGTGCGATCGCCTCCTTCGGCGATCTCGCGACCGAGACCGAGACCTATGCCGATGACTCCTGTGACGATGTTCGCGCTCATCACGATGCCTACGGTGTCTGTGTTCCCTATCTCTGTCTCTGTTTCTATCACTCAAACGATCTCGCCTCTTGTCTTTCGCTGGATTCCTGCTACGATCACTGCCCTGCCTCCGCTTGTCTGCAGAGTGGGGATCCAGTCCGACAGGCTCAAGTTTATCATCCTCAACAGTGCCGGACAGAGAGGCAGCGCCCCCACGAAAAGATCCGTACCCGATTCCTTTGCCCGCTTCGTCGATCGCTAGGTCTTCTCCCGCGGTCGTATCCCGGACTGCTTTCTGGACGTCTTTATCGCCCAATGGCGTAAGATTGGCGTTAGAACTAGCGCGCTTCTCCGGAACTGGCAGACCCAAAGCTCGGGCCATGGCTTCTTCTTCAGCTTCCTTGACACGTTGTTTCTCTTCGCGTTCTTTTCTAATCCTATCTTCTTCACTATCGTCTGCCCTTGTGTACCACATCAAGTCGCGACCCTGTTGCCAGCGGCCAACAGGGGCCATCACAGAATGGCCAAGATAGTTCTCACGGTGCGAAGAGTCTTTGACATCGGACCATTTAAAGTCGCCGCGACCGCCGCTAGAGCAACAGTAAGGTTAGCTAGCGGACATAAGAACGGATGATATAGGAATGTGCAGCTTACCGGCTACCTTCTTTGCGGATGCTTGCGACGAGATCCATCATAGATTCCTTGAGGAGTTGTTCTTGTTCATATGAAACCGGAAAGGGTGTTGCGATAGATTGTTATTTAGTAGGATTTATGTCTGATAAGAGAGTTTCACCATCGATGTGGCACGTGCACGCTACAGCCTGAGGCAGATCAACAGGGTTGGCTGACTTCATCGAACCATAAGATTCATATTCGGACAGAGGACTCAATAGTAGACCAGGGAGACTGTGAGCACATCCTGTCTCTTCCTCCCCATGGGTATTCAGCACAAAGATGCTAAATGGTCTACAAAGTGATAGGCCTCAAACTTCATGTGATGTCACACTTGAATCTGATACATTAAATTAAATATACCCCTCGTGCTTTTCTAATGAGCATATCCTTCCGCCTTCACCACCTTCACTTTATATTTTCACCTGTGAATCATAGCCTATTATATTACTGATAGTTGATTTGGACTGGTTCTTCTCCATACCACCTTCTCAGGTGGAAGCGAATAGTAAGAATGGAATTTAATATTGACGATGGGCCCCCAGGCCGGAAAACCCGCGCCAGAGAAGGCCTACATCTTAGAGCTTTGAACGTCGAGAAAGGGGCAAAAAGAGTACGTTGATTTATGAGTCACTAGATTTGCTTCCTCCTGGGCATGCTTCAGCTGACAGTTCGACTAGTTCTCTTCGTAAGTATCCTATCATTGTTCCTGCAGTCATGTAGTACTGACTGAGGCGTTGCGCGACACAGCAGAGCGCCAGACTCGTTTCCTCCGCAAGGCGCAGCATGGCGGAATAATCTGGTATACTGCAGCATCACTTCTGTATGATGACTTTTACTGACATGCCTGAAGGCTGCTCTTTCTCAACGTCGTAATCTTCTGTTTGTGGCCTATACCCATCAAATCTATGTCTGGGAGCCAGCTGGGTCGTTTCAGACCCTGGGATCCAGGCCTGAAATGATAATAACTCCTGTCATGAAGGACCCCTATAGCAGCGGGTATATATCACCACATATGCCTCACGCCATCAATAATATCCTTGTGGATGATCTGGGGCGCGATGAGGTCCTTCTGCTGGTCACTGATTCGGGCAATGTCTGCGGCTATCGTGTTGAGGCTATCTTCTCGGCTTTAAAGCGGGCTGCAGAACGTAAGGAGCACCGCCCTTTCGATGGCTCCCAAGTGGATCCTTTCTTTGTCGAATATGTCGAAGCCAGCGCCTGGGGGCTAGCCATACACAAGTTCTCCCGCCTGATTGCAGTGACCGCAAACACAGGCCTTGTCACTGTTTTTGCATTTGCACTTGTGAATTCTGCTTCTGGCAAAGGCAACGACACATGCCAGGGTTTAGGGGAGGAGGAGGATCTCACTGATTACGGCCAGACTTGGCTGGAAATAAAGAGTGATGAGGAGTTCAAACAGCTACGACATTTGATGCCTGCGAAGCACCGAAAACGGAACATGCGCTTAACTTTTACCGGACACTTTACCAACATACCATCTGTCTCATTTCTGAATTGTGATCTTGACCCAAATGGAACATGGATGGTCAGTACAGATATCGAAAATCAGGTTTTTGTCTGGAAAACCTGGGAGGGCCCTGGCCCATTTAACGTGTACCACTTCGGCGATTCTTCTTTCAAATACTTCCCAGAAACATTCAATCATGAGTAAGGCCTGTCTTGGAACATTGTCTCTGATAAGCTTTCACTGACGGACAAGGTAGTAAAGAGCGTGGTTGGTCAGCCATAGCCCTTGACCCACGTACTTTTCATCTACTCAAATCGACGAAGGATGCGTGCGGTGGTCATCCTCACCGTCGTTTAGAGAATGGTCGACCGGTCCTGGACCTGACCAAGTTGAGCAGCCGAGTGCCTAACGCGTCTCGACTCTACAATTATTTCCCTCCTGCGGTTAAGGCTGAACCAGAACAATCGATCTTACCTGACATATTTGAGCCAGATTGCTGCATTAATAGAGAAAGTAGTGCCCGCCAGTCTACCAGTCGTGCCGTGCACGATGGTTTATTTGCGGAATGTCAACGTGCAGATGAAGCTCCAGAACCCAGCGACACCCAGGATGTCAGAACCCTTCGGCCTTCAGACTCCGCCGATGCATTTAGCCACCGTGCTGTTGACGGCTCTGTGTTCGAAGATAATTTGAGCTCGAATGCAAGTTCTGATGGGGAGTCATATACAGGGCCCCAGCAAGATTCTAGCCAAGAGGGCGAAATCCAGGGTGATAATGGGGCCTTCCGTCGAGTGGATGACACAGCACTTCAGACCGATAATGCCTCGTTTCACGGCCCATTGACAACGCCTGAATTTCTTCAGGTGGCGCTTCTGGAAGCTCTAGGTGGCGATATCCCCGGGGCCGAAGAATACTTTGATGACTACTCGATAGAAGAGGTCAGCCCTTTTGAGGACATCGAAATGGATGACGCAGACGATGATGCTTCAGAGGGCAATGATACATCGACTTCCGAAGCAGTTGCTTACCAAGTCTTTAACCGTATGTCACGCGGTGCCTTTCCCAGTGATCCTAGTATCTATGGACATAGGGAGTCACTAATAGATTTTTCATCGACTCCAGCTCCAACACATGCAAACTTCCCGATCCTTCACTTCTCCCAAACAGATATCCGTCTCATCCCTAACCCACTTGCCTCTCGCGCAACTGTTTTCTGTGGCACACCCCTTCGGCAACAATTTACCCACGTTGTTGGATCGCTCCGAGACGCATGCGACCGCTTCAATATGGTTAAATATATCCCCGAACATGGAATCGTAGTGGCCGCCTCGCAAAAAGGCCGTGCCGCAGTGATTACCCTTACCGAGTCCGAAGCCAATGGCCTGTCATTCAGAGTCGACTGGATCGTTCCATTCGAGAGCCAGGAAAAGTACGGCGACCGACCTCTGATCCCTCTCCTAGGCATGAGCGTCAGTCCAATGCAAGGGTTTGAGATGCCTCCTGACGTGCCTAACATTCCCCACGATGCCAACGAGGATGGCCTGAAATTCCACTATAAGCCAACCACCAATGACGAACTTGACCCGCCTTTGCAAAGCAACTCCAAATCATCCAATATTTCGAGCGATGACCTACATACCCCTTCTGAAGTGTCTGGTACTGGAGTCTCCAGAGAGTCCACGCCGACGTTCAGCAGCAATGTTAATACCCTTCCAGAACAAGAGCAGCGGACCTTTCCAACTCTGCCGGAGTACCATGCCAGGGCTACTCGTGCCTATCAACCGGAGGAGCGTTGGCGTGGTTGGAATCCATCTCGGCGCTATCGTTTGTTGCTTCTCTTTGCGGACCATACTGTCATGAGTTACGAATTCTGGTACAACTGGTCCCCCACAGGCACAGCGGACGATGAAAGTGATGAAGATGGATACCTTGTTGTCTGAGCACATTCACCGAAACGGATTGGATGGTGGTCCACTACGTCAGTATTGTATTCAAATATATGGTTTGCTGAATTTCGAGGCTGTTAGTATTTGTAGGTTCAAAATAGCATACCGACCGTGTACATCACTGGGGATCCAAGTTTGTCACATATATAACTATAACACATTTATAAAACAAAAACGCTCCAAAGAAAATAGATGAATGCGCTGATATAGATGCAAAACCTCGTGATCATCATACATAAGTTGGGCATTGACACATAAACAGAGATGTCCCAAGGAGACTCCTTTCTCAAACATGCAGGGCATGTATCAAAAATCGTCATCTAGTTCATCACTATCCCATTCATCTTCTCTATCGTTTTGGACCAGTTCCAAAAATCTCTGGAGGCCTGGTCGTCTAATTGCTTCAGCATCAGGTTGGCCCCGTACCTCAGCCATTGCCCGTGCCTGTGCTTGTCTCTCGGCCGCTGCAGCCCTGCCTGCTGCATCTAAGCCATTCAAGTTGCGTCCCCCTTCGCGGCGCCCTGGACCACCAGCTCTCTGATTGACACGAGGTGGTGCCGGAGCAGGAGGCGGAGGGTGGCCTTGGCGCCTAAAGTGATTATCACCATCGTCAAAATCCCAGGCAGGTTGGTCCTCTTCATCGCTGCTGTCATCGAAATCTAGCAATTCATTTGGGATCTGGTGGAGAGCTTCTGCTCCATCAGGGTCAATTCCATCACCACCCTCTAAATCCCAAAGTTTGTTGTAGCATGAACTGTTGCCATCGTTGAAATGGCGATAAGGATTGTCCTCCGAAAGCCAGCTGGAACAGAGATAGCAAAAGTGCGTGTCACATTTGAAACAGATCATATGATTGCAGCCCATGCGTTTCTGACAAGGCGCATCGCACGTTGGGCAGGCCGATGTGTACAGCCTTAGATACTCTTCTGTTGCCTTTTCCTCTGCAGATAACTCTGCTTCTCGGCGGGGGAAGCACCGTACAAGCTCACCATGCCACCCTTTCTTACAGACACAGCAGAAAGCATAGTTGCAGTCTTCGCAAACAGCTACCCGATCCGCCATAGGAGGTAACTGAGCTTCATCCCCATTCGGGTCGAACACAAGTCCTACATCCTCATCATCGGAGGGATCCGGATCATCCGACATAGGGTCAATAGGCTTGGGATGCCTCTTCGAGCGAGCTGCACCTTGACACCACTGCCGAGGACAGTATATGGTAGATTTATCAGCCTCAAGTTTCTTCTTCCTCTTCAAAAAGACGTAACGCTGTACGGTTTCCTGCTCCAGAGGAATCTGCAGTAGCTCACTAGGGCTCAGGGTCCGCTCGTTCTTCTTGCGATTTTTGGGCTGCCCTTCTTGGCTTCGTACGGACTTGCCTTCCTTGCCGCAATCCGGGGCCAGACATTTGACACTTTCCACATCGCCTTCCGTGATACAAGTATTGTAAAAGTCCTGGAGACAGGGCACACAAAAAACATGTGAACAAAGTAAAAGCCGATGGCAGTTTACCCCTTTTTTCGGCTCAAGACAAACTCCGCACTCAAAAGTCTCCTGCTCGAACGCCTCTCTCTTGGCCTTATTGTTGAAATCCAACAGTGCGATTTTGAGCTCTCGCGGGAGCCTAACTTCTCCGTCGGGTATGTCATCAATACCAAAAGCTGTCTCGGCTAACTGTTGAAGATGATCGATATAGGTATATACAACGAGGTCCCTCCCACATTCTTCCCAGAGGCGTTTCCCATCGTCTAGTAGCTTTGAGATGATCGAAGAGGGCAGCCACGCAGGATCTGTGCTAAGCTTGATGATGGGGGATTGTTCTGATGGGTAGCCACCGGGCAATTCAATTTCCAAACAAAGCGGGGGCAGGTGCGATAGGACATGGACATCATCATCGGAGCTCGCCGTGGCGTCCCCATCAACTGTTTTGGTTGCGAAGCCCAAGCCAACTTCACTAGCATCAAGGGATGTGGGCGGAGTCAGGACTGTTGGAAGTTCAGTCTCCGAATATTGCTCGAAACCGATCCGTAAAGGTGGTGAAGGATTGACGGGTATATCTAGAGATGCCTTGAACGGAAACGAAGGGTTGATCTTGATTTCTGGGTAGATGGCCGCGATAGACGACAGCTCGACAGAGCGTTCGTCATCAAGCAACTCGGTATCAGTCATATTAGGGTAAAGCCGCCACAAAAGGAAGGAAGAGGTGGATGTGCAAGTCAGTTCTCTATTTAGGGCGGTGGTTGATAAGAGGTGGCGAGGCAGAATTCTTAATGGAATATTCCTGGCACAACCATGGTATATGTACCGCTTAAAATTATCATGCCTTTGAGAATTTTTGGGTGAGGGTGTCTGCGACGGGGAAAGGTGCCGTTGGGTCTTCAAAGAGGACTTGAGTCCAGGGAAAGGCTAAGAAGACGAATATGCAGCTAAACCATCGATTAGTAAATCACCAGTTATTGATTTACAGTGATAAGCTGCAAAAAGGCTGGATGTCATTCTTGTGGCAACGGCGAAGATATGGAAGAACCGGGCGAGAGGGACCCATAATCCTTTCTTACTTTTCAGGTACTGCGACAAATTGTGATAGACAGCGTAATTAGGGAGGAAATGGAGCTGTCAGGCGGTTGAAATTCTGGCAGTGGTGAAGGTCAGAATGAATGGTCTGCGATAGAAGTATCTTGGTCGAGACAGAAAGACAGAACCAGATATCGGATTGAACGTGCGAGGAGAAGTGCGTCATGTTTTGGCTAAAGGTAAGAGAAAAAGAAGGATAGTAGAAGATGGAGTTGTTAATGAATTCTTTTGATTTCTCGGTTGCAGATCAAGAAGTGTAGTGACTTCAGAGAAGAAGAGAAAAAGAGAAAAACAATACAAAACAACTCATTGACCGACAGAAAAGCATGTGGTTTGAAGGAACTTCAGGCATGGTTTGCTGCCCGAGTCCTTTTTGTTTCTTGTATTTTGTTGCAAGTCAGAGACTTTTTTTTATTTTTAGATTTTAGATTTCCCCCCCCCTAAGCTACTATCAAGTTTTTCAAATTTATTATTATTTGCTTTTTCTGCGTGCCCTCATCATTTCATTTGACAATGATGTTTCTGCAACCTGAGGCACCATTTTCCCCCTCCCCCTCATTTTGCGTTGCCGCTTTGACCATATCCAACTCCGTCTCCCCCATGACCTGGAGGCAAAAGCGGCGAGGGACACGGACTCCCGCCTGAAGAGCATGTGACATCTTTGAAAGTTCTGGGCTGTTGTTAGTTTAACCACGGCTTACATTCAAGCTTATTATTATACAGTCAGGATTCTCAAGACTTAGTCTTGTCCTGGGGGGTTGAGTATTCCTTGGATATCTCTATATCCATAATGTTTGTCGCTCAATAATATTTGCTTGTTCATTCATCTCTTCGCATATAAATTGAACCTATTAATTGCTGCTTCAATACTCCCATCTTGTTATCAGTCGACCTTATCTTATTGTGGTCCTCAAACGGAGAACCGGAGAACACCTAAGGAAGTGGAAAGCGAGAGAAGGAGAAAAAAAAAATTCCAGAATTAGATAAAAATATAAAACAATCTCTGTTGGCGCTTTTTTCTCATCAACATGACTGACACGCCCTTGGCATCTCTGTCTTTGACGCATGTCCATTATGTAAGTCCTTGCTGATCTCCGCGCGCGTTTTCGAGTGGTCGAGGAGCTGATGAGGCATGTGTATTTATGGTAGAATCCGGACGACCCGCTCTCATTTTTGTCGGCCTGGCTTGCCCTAGTCCCCCAGGCATTATGCGTGACCTATGTCACTCTTGTTTGGGCGACAAGGGAGGTGGAGGTGCTATTGATGTTCGCAGGCCAGATGGGTTGTGAAGCATTGAACTTTGTGTTAAAGCGAATCATTCAAGAGGAAAGGCCGAAACGTACGTCAAGTGGCAAGTGACTAGACCTGGTTGGGTTCAAACACTGACGTGGAACTGTTGACACAGAAATGCTTGGTAAAGGCTACGGCATGCCATCATCCCATGCACAATTTGTCGCCTACTTCGCCGTTTATCTGGGGCTGTTCCTTATCTTTCGGCATAATCCCACGCACGCCGAGTCATCATTCCATATTCTCATACGGATAGTACTTGCCATGGGCGTGAGTGTTGGCGCCAGTGCCGTGGCCATCAGTCGTATATATCTGAACTACCATACACCCAAACAGGTTTTGGCAGGCTGTGGTGCTGGTATTGGGTGTGCCGTTGCTTGGTTCCTTATCACGGCATTCCTCCGGACACATGGCTGGATTGACTGGGTACTCGATTTGACCATATCGATGCAGTTGAGACTACGGGATCTGGTGGTAAGTGAAGATCTAGCCGAGGCCGGATGGCAAAAATGGGAAGCAAAGCGGAAGTTGAAGCGTCGTGGACATATTAGTAGTGATCACCGGTCTCCGAAAACAGATTGAACCGTATAGGTACTTGAGCTACGTATACTTCGTTCCTTAGATTTTGAAACAGGGATTACAACGTGTTGAGCGCAATGCCCTTGGATCTACTTTAGCATTCTCGCTAATATATATACACCATATACATGTGAAAAGTCACAAGACCTTGGTATGATTCTATCGGAAAGTTCTCGTAATACTTACACATGATAACAGATATTTCGGGTTTCGGATATGCACCTTCAGAAGCTACAAGACCCTTCATATACTCATATGGGAATATGCTGGGTCCCATACTAAATTGAATACATGGTTAATGGCGGTGAGAGTCCAGTTGTATTATATTCAATAAGAATGCATTACTGCTATGCGCGTAGCAAAAGATATTTCGTAGAATCATTTTGAGGTACGTTTAGAGAGATAGCAAATAGCAATAGAATGCTGCAACTCGAAAAACCATTTGAATCCGGTCGGTACCTTGATATACCTCCGTCGCGGTGCCTCGCACGTGATCGGCCTCGCCCGTAGATGGGGAACTGTGACAGATTTCCGTCGCGTGGCCATCGTTTATCAAGCATGTTGCGGAACTGTGCTTCGTCAAAGCCGCCAAGAGACTCCATCATGTCTCCTTGACTTTACTGATTAACATGTCAGGCTTTGCGCACTTCTACACCCAGGACTACTACTAGGACATATAACGTTAACACCTATCTTACCTCTCTTTTCTATTTGTTTTGCCAAGAACAGATACCCCTGATATTCTTGCACATTTTACATTTAATTGTTACATGAGACGAGTGATAAGCTCTCAGAGCCCAAAAGATGGATGATACATCAGAGTCTACCGATACGGCCATGCCAGAACACCACATTGTTAAAGCAGATGAGGTCGACCAAACAGGCACAGATATCTCTCCTGTCTCAGACGATCAGCTGATGGAAGAAGTCACTGAGGGCCTACGGCAGGAGCGAGTTTCAGGAAGCACGCCGTCTGCCCCAGGTGAAGTGCCTATGGAGGCTGGAAAACCACATCGGCGACCGGAGTTACGTCGGGATGCTGCAGCTCCGCCGCCGCCTCTACAGCCTCCACCACCAGCTCCAGTGCAACAGAATTTAGAAAGACCCACGGACTCACTAAGTCTTGCACAACTCAGGCAATTCGTGCAGGAGATGCCTAGGATTGAACAGCCTGCTTATGCATTTGAATATGCCGATTCTCAGCCATTTGCGGAAGAGGTCGAAGAATGGTTCCAGTATAGCGAGTTTGACAGAGCTATGCTAATGGGCATGAAGTCATCGTTTGAGAAGAAGTGGGCATCTTTTCTCGAGGCTCAAAACGCAGAATTCTCGCAGATATCATGGATAGATACTACTGATGATCAGCGAATGGCATTCATGGCTCAGATGGTAAATGTCATACGAGAGCGTGAGGTCTCGGTGCGTCTCGAAGCCCTGGAAGTCGTTTGTTATATTGTGACTGGTGTATGGGGTACCACTGCTGGAAGAGCTATAGATGGTTATCCTGAAGATCCGTCTCCCAAGGAAACCGCAGAGGTCCCGAAATCTAAGTCATTACACATCAGTTGGATCGAGAATGGTGCCAATCTGGTTCTTGAAAGCTCCGGCCTGGCACCGTTGCTCGAGTGTCTATGTCGCGTTTTTGAAAGAAACCGCGCCTCTTATAGTAGTGAGTCTGCTGGGGCTGGGGCTGAGAGCACGAACCCAGCATCTCTCGCTGCCATGGAGCGTGAGGCGAATTTGATCCTTACAGCCTTTTACATGATCGTGGAGGTCGGTAGGAAACAAGAGGCCCGAGATCCGCGGCACACACCGTTAAGGGATGCCCTGATTGGCCTGGAGCCGAATCTACTAGTATTCCTGGTTGAAGTTATCGCACGCCTGCGGTGGGATGACTCTGCTAATATCCCGCTTACGAGGATAATCCTCTTGTTTTGGAAGTCTTTGCTCCTCTTCTTTGGCGGCAGTGATGAGTTGAAAAGAGCCAAGGAGGAATTGGAACCAACGTTTAAGGAAAGGGAGGATAATACGTCTCGGAGGACGCCTTTTCTGACTGCATCGCCTCTTGATTATCATATCTTTCGACAGGAAATTACTTCTAAATACCCGGCCTATAACCCGCCACCACCTGTAGTTCCTCTGGAGCTAGAGAACAACTCTATTCTCCCTCCTCTTCCCCAGCATCCCAGCAGAGGAGCTTCGTCTAATGGACTCTTTTCTGGGGTCGGCCCATCTGTTGCAGGTGGCAATGGCTCAATCCTTCACCAGTCAGTCCACATAGCAACACCTGCACCTTCTCCGCCTCCATCACCAATTGGCCCAGGGGGTAAAGCGGGAAAGAAGCAAAACTATCAGACGAACCAAAACTTCCCCTTCATGTACCCGCCTTTAGATGTTTCTAGCAACGACATCGGCGGCAAAGGCACAACCGAGCTTCAAGATATGCTCGTTGGCAAGAGGTGGGAGGGAAGTGACGTACCAGCTTCAATTATCGAGGCCGGCAAACTTTTCTCGACACACGTCAAAATGACTAGAGCCATGCGACAACTTTGGGAAGAGCGAGAAAGGTTCATGAAATATGATCGCGGCTGGTACCTAGATGATAGCGGGACCACATCCGATGAGAATATACCTGACGAACTTCTAGAGGACTTTCAAGATTTAGATTTGAAGCAGGGAAAGAAGAACACCCCAGGATGGTCGGCCAGCAAGGAAACCGATGATGAAGATATCCAGCGGCGCTTGGATGCCGTTGAGTCCTTCTATGTGAGTTTTACCTGTATTTCAGTACTACATAGGCTGACAAGTTTTCTAGACACAAGCGCTTGTGCATTTGCAATCCATCACCATTGTATTCTTGAAGATAATTCTGACAAATGTCAGTGCTATGGTGAACCAGACCCAAGGTGGTCAAGGAATGAGGTATGGACCCTTGCTCTGGTCGTACTGAAAGTTGGGTTAATATGTGCTTAGCGATAGTTACGGCGTTAATGGATCCGGTCCCGGGCCAGCGTCTATCGCCGAGAATTTGAACTCCGAGGCTGCTATTGAGGAACTTGACAACATTCGGCTTCGGGAGATTACTGGAAAAGCCATTTCAGGATCTCTGTTGCTTCTGGTAAAGTGGTTCAAAAGATCTCGTACGCTTATAACCCTAGCGCAGATCGAATGGTATCATTGCTGACCGAGCCTAGACATATTGAAATTTGAATATATGACGCAGTTGTTGCTCGATTCCAATTACCTGCCGTTGATATTGAAGATGTTTGCCCACCAAGATATTGATCAAGCTGTGGCACAGAAGTTTGACCGCAAGGAGCTGGGGTACGCACCCTTTCGATTGAGATCTACCCGCCAGAATTACTGACAAGAATAAGCTTCTTCCATTTCTGTCTTCTTCATTCGGACCAACCTCCAGAACCATCGCATTCGGACGAGGAATCGAGCGGGGATGAGGCGGCGCCTCCCCCAATTGCTCGGCATCGATCAGAAGTAGATCCAGGAAACTCTTCCGTACGAGTACAATCCCCGGAGGAGGCTTTTGAAGAGTTTTTGAACGAACCCGATCTTCCTCGTCCTGAGGTGGACGAGCTGGGATACCCTACCGCACCTCCACCCAAAGAGCCGATCAAGGTGTTTTCATTCCGCAATTTTTTCTCGGCTATCAATTACTTGCACATCATGCAGAAGATTACCCGTGACAAAGCCCACAGATGTCTGCTGCTGGTGCAATACAAATCTAGTACTATCCTTCGAAAAGGGCTGAAAATACCGGATCCGCATCTACGGTTCTACACCCTCAAGCTCTTCAAATCACAGGTCCCTTACTGTGGCCGCAAATGGCGGCAAAGCAACATGCGTGTGATCACCGCCATCTACCTCTACTGCCGCCCGGAGCTGCGAGATGACTGGCTGGCAGGATCAGACATCGATGCGGAGGTTGAGGAAGCCTTGCCGCTCGAACAAGCACTCCGTGGCCTGACACACTGGTGGCACCTGCGGCGGTATAAAGATGTAATGGGCGGTGAGGAGGGCGCATCACTCATGGAAGAGGAGCGCGATTTCTTTGTGCGAGAGCTCGAAGCAATGGGCTGGGGACTTGCTGGTGAGGAAATGCTCAATGGTGCCAGCGAGGAAGCTGAGATGGCTGCGGCTGGTGGGCAGTTACCAGAAGGAACCGAATGGGACGGAGGCCCATTGCAGATGGAGGGGTGGTGAGGCGATTTTCATCTCGAGAGAATATGTTTCTTTCATCATAGAGTATAATGACAATCATGAATGAAATACATATACCCCAATAGAAGTGATCATCTAGCTCTCAGTCATATCGTACCAAGCACATTCCACTAATTGTAACGATATTGACCAGTTGAAGCTGATGTGTTAGCAATCGCCTGCCATTGGCTACTGCCAAGTCTTATCGATAAGAAATTTCTCACGTGATGATCACTGCGGCAACTTTTTTTTGCGGCAGAATCGATCATTCTCGCAAAGTCTAGCCGGATAGCAAAGACACTGTTTCTCCCAACCACGGCGGTTTAGGCCATTATTTTGAGATTCTTGGCCGGCACTAGTCAAGATGTCGTCGGATGAAATTGTCTGGCAGGTTATCAACCAGCAATTCTGTTCCTATAAACTAAAGTAAGTTACTGATAAAAAAAATACTTGCATATCTTCCGCCGGAAAAAAAAGAAACAAAACAAGCCGATGCGAAGGAGGGAATAAAGGATAAAACCTTTTCATAAAAAATAGACATAGTACATTTAAATAACTAACACTTCCACCTCCAGAACAACCAAAGGCCAAAACTTCTGCCGAAACGAATACAATGTCAGCGGTCTCTGCAACCGCCAGTCCTGCCCGCTGGCCAACTCCCGCTATGCCACAGTGCGGTCGGATCCTGAAACGGGTGTGATGTACCTCTACATGAAGACTGTGGAACGCGCGCACATGCCCAGTAAATGGTGGGAACGGATAAGACTGTCGTCGAACTACGCAAAGGCGCTGGAGCAGCTTGACGAGCGACTGATCTACTGGCCTAAGTTTCTGGTGCACAAGTGCAAGCAGCGTCTTACGAGGCTGACGCAGGTGGCTATTCGCATGAAGAAGCTGGCTAAAGAGGAGGAGAGACTGGGAGAGAAGATTGTGCCGAAGATGGCGCCTAAGATTCGGCGGAGAGAGGAAACCCGTGAGCGCAAGGCTGAATCAGCAGCTAAGGTTGAGCGGGCGATTGAGAGAGAGCTTATTGAGAGATTGCGCAGTGGTGCGTATGGTGAAGCGCCGTTGAATGTGGAGGAGGGTATCTGGAAGAAGGTGCTTCGCGGCCTGGAGCGCGCGGGCGAGGGTGAGCGTGATGAGGATCTCGATGATGGAGAGTTAGAGGAGGAGGAAGAGGGTGTTGGCGAGGTTGAGTACGTTAGCGATCTTGATGAGGAGGAGGATCTGGAAGATATTGAAGATTGGCTGGGTGCGGAGTCGGGAGACTCAAGTGATGACTATGACGACGAGGATGATGAGGATGAGGACAGTGATGAAGAGAGCGACGAAGAAGATGCTAGCGAGCACAGCGAGGATGAGAAGAAGAAGCCTGCGCCTGGCTTCAAGAGGAAGCGCCCTGCTCCCCAGGCTAAACCCCGGAAGAAGGGTCCCCGGATCGAGATCGAGTACGAAACCGAGGGCGCTGGCAAGGAGAATCTCTTCGCTTAAGACAGAGACCTTTTGGATTTTGGAAACACCGACTCAAAAAGCAAAAAGCATTCTGGTCTGTTGTATTTTGCACGGCGTTGTCTGGTTGTTGTCTCTGAAGTCACATCTGCTACGATCGGGCGCCATACCCAGTCTCTGCATAGTTTACAAACAATCTTCCTGATCCTGCGGATTTAATATGATTTTTTACTCTTTATTTTTAACATACTCTCGAACCCCTTAAAATAAAGTGGTGGGAACTGATGGTGACCCATGGTAGATATACTCCGTACTCCTGGAAGACATACCCGGCTCACGTGCCGGGGTGAAACAAGCGAGTGGAGCGCCAAGTGTAATGACTTAATGAAGCCAAGTTAACGTTTTGGCAAAGAATGTGGCAGACACTTTTCTGTCTCCTTGGGCGGCTGTTAGTTGAGATATCATTTCCATTGTCATTGTAACCCGCATTGCCGTAACCGCTTGTTTCGGTTCTTTTTTGAGCCTTCCGTTGTTGTCGCATTTATTCAATTCCGTCCACACCGCATCGTCCTTGCCGCCATCGCACACCCCGCCACGATACGAACATTCGGTGTCACCCCTGAAAAACAAAGCACACAACGTAATGTCTTCCTATTTCTCTTCCCTCACATCCTCGTCGGCGATCTCGAATCTCGGCACTCGCCTGACGTCTCTTCGCCGAGCGATCACACTGGGCGACGAGGCGGACGACCCAGACCACGAGGACTGCTCTCACATCTCCAACGTTCTACGCGCCTACTATAGCGAGAAAGGTCGCCCGTTTCCCGGTTGGCTTCCCCCTAACCCCAAAGCTCCAACGCCTGCGCCGGCCCGGACCATTGCGACGACTCAAATCCAGCCCGGCCCTCATGGTTCGGCCCCAGCAACGTCGATGTACGGGCGTGGTAGCGGTGGTGGATTGGGTGATCTGTGGGGTGATTCAGGCTCGGCACAACCTCCCACCTCTCAAACGGCTAGTTTGCGACGAGGACGGGCTGCTGGTAGTATGGGTGCACCGTTGGCGGCCACGAGCAGTGCGCCCCCGGGGTCTGTAGTAACACCGCCTAGTCACTCGCCTACCCCGCCATCGCTGCACCCGGGCGGAGCGCGACCATTGCCCAGCCAGCGAGCTGGATCATATCAATCGTTGTCCGGTTCTCAACCTCTAGAACGGGCAGCTTCGGCACAAGAAAGGCTTCGGGCTAGATTACATGGAGGCCGGTCGCCTAGTCCCGGGCAGAACCCGAACAGTCGGCCGGTTTCACCATACTATGGGGGCGGATCGGATCCTAGCGCACGAAAACCGGTTGGGGGAAGGATGCGGTGAAATTAAAAAAAAAAAAAAAAAAAAAATTAAATAAATGAAAACTGGAGCCGTCCAAAACAAATTTTTTCCTAGCGGTTCTCTAGAAGTTGGGCTTACCGGGGAAACTAGGAAGGAAAGGTGATTTGACGCAGAGGATAGATATCCCACCGAGAAGGCAGGCAGGTACTGCTGGTTAATGTCTGTGTGTCCGGCTGGAGGAAGGACGTCACTATTTTTATTGCTTTTTCTTATTTCTGTTCGGTTCTTCTCAGCTAATTAATGTAATTTGGTGCTACTGATACATGTACAGTGTGGAGTACTAGAGACAGGCTAGAGAGTATTGTGATTTTTTTACCCAATGTGCTTGATATCATGTGGTTGTATAGGGCGGAAAAACGAACAGCCACCCATGTAACTACTCCGAGTATGTACTCCGTATGTAGAAAGATGGCCAATAGGTGTGGATAATAAGATTTTACTACTACTCTGTTCGGACAAGAGCAGAGTACACACTACACTAGTACATACAAGTACATACAAGTAGTGGAAGATTACCTCACGAGAAATGGAGACCCCCCACGTTTTCCAGGGTTAGGCCGACTGGTTCGATGAAACTAAGCCTTTCCTGGCAGAATCTTAACTGGGGAAACAGCGAATGAGAGGCTCGGGTGGGCAGGTGCAAGGTTTCCTCGTGCTGGGCGTTTTTCTTCCTCTGATTTTTTCTCCGATGACGCTCCATAAATCCCGCAATTGACTCTCTTCCATTGGACGCGTGTTGTAATGAAAAACCCGGAAACTCCCCGAAATTGTACCGTTGCCGGACTCGGCTTCCTGAACTGTCGTGGTTTGTGCCCTCCACGGGGAAGGTGTAGTTGCCGTGTGGGGATCGGCGCTCTCTCCTCTTTTTCAACTCCAGGCTTCCCGATGGTTTCCATGCGGAGTGATTCCGGAGTTCTCACCCAACAACATTCCATCTCCAGTTTCTCCTTACTCACGGTCCACCTTGTCCCTTGCCCTTAGCAGGAGACATTCCTTATTCATCCCGAGTGAAAAAAAAAGTAGAAAAAAAAGAAAGAAAAGAAAAAGAAAAGAAATCTGTTTTAACTCGGGACCATGACGTCCACTGTCTCATTGGGCTACCAATCTCGTAATCGAGTTATCCAGTAAACACTAAATCGAGCAATCTACTCCAAAAAAGTTTGAATTCATTCTGTGGATTTTTCTTCTGGGGCAGTCTTATTGCCGCCCCCCCTTTCCCCCCACAGTCAGGTGCCATCCGGCACGACGAAAGCCTGTAGAGTTCTTGAATGGGGTGACGTGCCTGACAAAATGGCCTTATAAGTCCCGTGCTGTCTCGGCTGCCCGACTTTCTTCTCACTTTTCCTTTTCCTTTTCCTTTCCTTTCTCCTTGTCTTACATAGTTGCTAAATGATTCCTCTCCATCTCCTCTAGAACTCGAGGAACTCTTGTTGGTCTATCGGTTGATTGTACCACAACTAAAACCCCTTATATAACAAGTTCACAGCCCTTCCCCCGAGTATTTCCAACGATCCCCAGCAGCCTCCATCATGGGGTCCTTAAAGGATGTTGAGGCCTCCCATGATGACCACAAGGATGCCACAGCCGTGGAGATGGACGATATCCTCCAGGACCCGAAGGGCACCGCCGCCTTTAACGAGGCTGCTATGGATATGGAACTCCAACAACTGGAGAACCAGCTGCGTGAATTGAAGACGTCACGCTTCGACGTCGCGCTGTCCAACCCGGCCTACTTCACTTATATCTTAGTCGCATTTGCCTCCTTGGGAGGTTTGCTCTCTGGTCTGGACCAGTCCTTGATCAGTGGTGCCAACCTCTACATGCCCGATGACCTGCACTTGTCTGACTCGAACGCCAGCTTGGTTAATGCCGGTATGCCGCTGGGTGCCGTGGGTGGTGCGCTAATTCTTTCTCCGGCTAACGAGTACTTGGGTCGTCGTATGGCTATTATCGTATCGTGTATCCTCTACACCATTGGTGCTGCCTTGGAGGCCGGCGCGGTCAACTTTGGCATGATGTTTGCGGGTCGTTTCATCCTGGGTATGGGCGTTGGTTTGGAGGGTGGTACCGTTCCGGTTTATGTTGCTGAATGTGGTACGTAACCAAACATATGCCTTGTTCCCGCTGCAGCCTCGCTCCATCCGCTAACGATTACAGTCCCATCAAGGATCCGTGGTAACCTGGTCTCGCTGTATCAACTAAACATTGCTCTGGGCGAGGTTCTTGGGTATGCGGTTGCCGCCATCTTCCTCGACGTCAAGGGCAACTGGCGCTATATTCTTGGCTCGTCCCTGGTTTTCTCAACCATCCTTTTCGTCGGAATGCTTTTCTTGCCTGAAAGTCCTCGTTTCTTGATGCACAAGAACAAGCCGGTGGAAGCGTATGGGGTTTGGAAAAAGATCCGTGGCTTCGAGGATATAGATGCCAAGAGCGAGTTCTTAGGTATGCGCCAGTCGGTGGAGTCGGAGAACGAGGAGCAGCAGCACACCAAGAAGTACGCCTGGATGGACTTCTTTACCAATCCTCGTGCTCGCCGCGCCATGGTCTACGCCAACATCATGATCGTCCTCGGCCAGCTAACGGGTGTCAACGCCGTCATGTACTACATGGGTACTCTTATGGAAAACATCGGTTTCGATAAACGTAACAGTGTCTTCATGTCGCTGGTGGGTGGTGGTTCTTTGCTGATCGGCACGATCCCGGCGGTCATGTACATGGAGAAATTCGGCCGGCGTTACTGGGCCAATACCATGCTGCCGTGTTTCTTTATTGGTCTTGTTTTGGTTGGCGTGGGTTATCAAATCAATCCCGAGCGAAACCCGGTGGCCGCCCAGGGGATCTATCTCACCGGCATCATCCTCTACATGGGTTTCTTTGGCTCATACGCTTGTCTGACCTGGGTTATCCCATCCGAGGTGTTCCCCACCTACCTTCGTAGCTATGGTATGACTACTGCCGACGCCAACCTTTTCCTCTGCTCGTTCATCGTCACATACAACTTTACCGCTATGATGAAGTCTATGACCCGTATCGGTCTCACTCTAGGTTTTTACGGTGGCATCGCCGCACTCGGCTGGGTTTACCAAGTTATCTTCATGCCAGAAACTAAGAACAAGTCTCTGGAAGAGATTGACGAGTTGTTCTCCAAGCCCACGTCATACATCGTCAAGGAAAACATGAAGAGCACTGCGCAGGTCATCCGGGACCTCTCCCGTTTCCGTTTAAAGAAAGTGTTCAGCCCTTAGTTTTAACAGGGGACCTGTTATTCTCTTAATTCACTTGGGGCTGAGGTGTATGCCGCCGGGCATAACTCTCTTCTTCAACAATTCCGAAGCAGAGGTGATGAGCAATGTTGTGTTATGATCTGTATGCATCATGTGTTATGTTTGCATGTCTGGGAGGGTTCCTATCTGCAGCAGACATTGATCTCTAAGTTATTAATATATGTACTAAATCAACACTTCTCTTAAATGGAGCACTAAGATGCCACGAAACCTGTCTGGCGGTGATACTATTACAAAATCACAACATAAAAACGGTAGCCTGTGTTTTAACTTTCAGGTGGCGTTTAAGGTAGATGCTCTCTATACTCTACATAGCTCGGTCACTATTCTATATGCCGTACCTTAGCCCCCTGCAGGACCTCGGGGCTTGCTAGAATGGATAGACTAGCTATATTAACCCGATTTAGGGCCAACGTGTATCACGGGTAAGGAATCTTAGCAATAGGTGACCTTTTGAACTAGCATATTTTTCAGACAAAACTTGACTATACCAATAAATGATCACCCGGCCACCCTTTCTAATAGCTATTGGAAAGGTCGACTTCGTCTGCTAGGAGAAGAGTCATTCTTAACACAATGTACTTCTCGAACGAAAGTTCTCATATCATTATTTAGTAGCTCGTCCTTTTCACACTGAACAGAACGGTGTAATGGTCAAACACACATGACCAAAGTTCCCTTTATTCTACGGTTAATCACGAAGGCAAGAACTTGCAGGTTCCTAATGAAAATGGGCACAAGTAAGTAAACCAATTGAATTCTAAAATGTTATAATATCAACCATGACGGTGTCTCCGTGGCAATATCAAAAGAGATGCTTGTTATAGGCATACAATAAATACCACAAAGCAGCGCTCGCTCCAAACACCGTTCAACCGATGAAATATTCTTGTCACATGCGAGGAGAGAAGGATAGGGTGGTGGTAGTGGTCAGTAGGAAACAAAATCAAGTGAGGAAGGGAAGTAAGAGGGTAATTTGATTAAGCTAGCCCCTCACTTTCCGGTAACTCGGAGGATGCCAGGATCGTTGGATCAACTTTCCAGCCCAGACGGGGATGATGGCCACGGCGACGACAACGATGACGCGCCAGACCCAATCCACGGTGATCACATATTGCAGGTCGAAGTACTCGCCTAGGAAGGGGACGCTGGCAGCGTACAGGAGGGCTGTGCCCAGGAGACAGAAGATCATTACAGGGTGCCAGGTAGTTATGGCGATTGCGACCATTAGAAGTTCGTTAATCACCAGGGCTGTAAATGATACGCTGATGAGTCGGGGTCCTGCGATTGTGTCTAGGAGGATCTGGGAGAGGCCTTGGATTACGGCCCCTTGGTATACGGAGATCAGGACCCAGGTGAAGAAGGAGCGATAACTTAGACTGCGGCCGGATTTGAGTTCTTTGTACAGTTCGGGGTAGAGATTAGCGAGGTGCTCGTCAACGTCACGATCAAGGACCAATGAGAAAACGGGGGCGTTGGTGTAAACAGTAGCATAGCCGACCATGAGCCAGTTGATAAAGAGACCCTTGGGATCAAAGTGACTGGCAATGCTGTACATGGTCTGGCAGGCGCTGATGATGAGACCGCGATGCATGATGAACTGTGCCAGCTTGGCAGATCGCTTGTAGGAATTACGTCCGTGCCAGACCAGGAGCTTGGTGAGATGGTGGAACTGGGTAATGCTGAAATCTGCTGCAAGGGAAGCCTGGCGTCCTTCT